CATGGCAGAGTTACTATTCCAGCCCTTAAAATAACAATGATCTTGTTGCATGAAATGTATTGATATATGCTTCGGGGTCTAGCGAAATATGGCGGTTTATTTAGCGTACAAGCATGATGTGCTCATCACCACACTCAGAGATCGAGATATTTTTGCAAAAATGGCAGATGCCTGTACTAGCACAAATAATTAGCTAGCACAAGGCTATAAAAACATAATTTCCAGTTGGCAGACAAACAGTGGGATTCTATTTCAGTGAGCATATGATTCTTGTGTGCAAGAGAGCATGCTAATATCAGAAGATCAGTATCTTGGTTTCTTAAAGTACAATCATTTGCATGGAGTAAGAGTGTATTGGTGGAACACTCTAACAACAGTGCAGCATTATTCTCTCATATGTATGAACCAAAAGAAAACTATTTTACAACATGCAGCATTTAGATTTCCTCAATTTGAAATGGGTGGCACATGTCAGGCATGGATTGCATGTTCTGAGAATTTATTTTGGGGCCGGGATACATGATAAGGCTGCAGCATGTATATGTGGGATCTACAGGTGAAACGCAGAAAATTAGAAAAAATATAGTGCAAAAGTTCATTTATTTCAGTAATGCAACTTAAAAGGTGAAATTAATATATGAGATAGACTCATTATATGCAAAGCAAGATAGTTCAAGCCGTGATTTGTCATCATTGTGATGATTATGGCTTACAGCTCATGAAAACCCCAAATCCACAATCTCAGAAAATGAGAATATTGTGAAAAGGTGCAATATTCTCGGCTCAAAGTGTCCCACTCTAATCAGCTAATTAAGCCATAAAAACCTGCAAAGGGTTCCTGAGCCTTTAAATGGTCTCTCAGTCTGGTTCAGTAGGAATCACAATCATGGGAAAGACTGCTGACCTGACACCATCATTGACACCCTCCATAAGGAGGGAAAGCCTCAAAAGGTAATTGCAAAAGAAGTTGGATGTTCCCAAAGTGCTGTATCAAACCACATTAATAGAAAGATATGTGGAAGGGCAAAGTGTGGAAGAAAAAGGTGCACAAGCAGCAGGGATGACTGCAGCCTGGAGAGGATTGTCAGGAAAAGGCCATTCAAAAGTGTTGGGGACTTTCACAAGGAGTGGACTGAGGCTGGAGTCAGTGCATCAAGAGCCACCACACACAGACAGATCCTGGACATGGGCTTCAAATGTCATATTCCTCTTGTCACGCCGCTCCTGAACAACCAACAACATCAGAAGCATCTTACCTGGGCTAAAGAAAAACAGACCTGGTCTGTTGCTCAGTGGTCCAAAGTCCTCTTTTCTGATGAGAGCAACTTTAGCATCTCATTTGGAAACCAAGGACCCCGAGTATTGAGGAAGAATGGAGAGGCATACACTGCAAGATGCTTGAAGTCCAGTGTGAAATTTCCACAGTCTGTGTTGATTTGGGGAGCCATGTCATCTGCTGGTGTTAGTCCACTGTGCTTCATTAAGTCCAGGGTCAATGGAGCCGTCTACCAGGAGATTTTGGAGCACTTCATGCTTCCTTCCGCAGATGAGCTTTATGGAGATGCTGACTTCATTTTTCAGCAGGACTTGGCACCTGCCCACACTGCCAAAAGCATCAAAACCTGGTTCAATGACCATGGGTTTACTGTGCTTGATTGGCCAGCAAACTTGCCTGACCTGAACCCCATAGATAATCTATGGGGCATTGCCAAGAGAAAGATGAGAGGCATGAGACCAAACAATGCTGATGAGCTGAAGGCCGCTATTGAAGCATCCTGGTCTTCCATAACACCTCAGCAGTGCCACAGGCTGATAGCTTCCATGCCACGCTGCATTGAGGCAGTAATTGCTGCAAAAGGGGCCCAAACCAAGTACTGAGTACATATGCATGCTTATACTTTTCAGAGGTCCGATATTGTTCTATGTACAATCCTTGTTTTATTGATTGCATGTAATATTCTCATTTTCTGAGATTGTGGATTTGGGGTTTTCATGAGCTGTAAGCCATAATCGTCACAGTGATGACAAATCACGGCTTGAACTATCTTGCTTTGCATGTAATGAGTCTATCTCATATATTAGTTTCACTTTTTAATTTGCATTACTGAAATAAATGAACTTTTGCATGATATTCTAATTTTTCAAGTTTCACCTCTACTAGCAAATGCATTCTGCCATGGGATATGCACTCCAGCTCCAGATACACCTGAAGGAAAAAAAAAAAAATAGGTAAATGGCTACATGACCAGGGGGACAGGGGATACAAGGTAAGACAGAGTTAAAACATATATTCTTTAAAAGGGCAGCCACTTACTATTATTGGCCAGTTCACGGAGAGTAGATGGAGCTGCTGGGGGTATACGGGGAAGAGATCCAAAGATCAAATCCCTCGGAGCAACAGACATGAAGGAATCTTCACACCCTGCATTTGATCAGTTCATTTGGCCTTAGGGCCTTAGGGTTTTTGGCGGTTGGGGTCTTTGGATGCATTAACATTTTCAGAACAGTTCATAGTAGTGACCCAGCTAAGGTATGGTGTCCTCTATTAGATCCCAGTTAATGGGGTATTATCTGGGAAGTGGTAACAAGTAGGTATTTGCAGAGAAGGGGTTTGTCCCCGAGCTGGTGTTTTGCAGCTGGAGATCGTTAAGTATTAGCACAGATACACAACCTGATGTTGGTTTCTAGGTGCTTCCCAAGACTGTCAACCTGTTTGTTATGGTCACTGGATTACGAGTATTGTTTCTGTTTTAAGAAATATTATCTTTGGTTATTTGTTAATAAATGGCCAAGCTGCCTGAAATTTTCTCCAGATTGTGTCCTTAGTCATTTATTCTAAGAATAAGTTGGGTGAGGGGTAATCTACGGTGACCAGTTTAAATGATTTGGAGACATGTGGGGTACCCTAGTCATGATCCTAGAGGCAAAGAGGGGGCCTAGGCAGCATAGGGTATGGTGCACAGGGAGGGGTGATGGTTGTGCAGTTACTGGAACCAATCCCCTGTATGGCTCACTCTGCAGCAGCTGAAAACCAACGGGAAAGAGAGGAGAAAAAGCCAGCTTTCAGCTGCTGCAGAGAGAGTTATACAAGAGATCGGTTCCTTCGCTGTGTCGATCACCCTCATTGCCCATATCCAATTCAATCAGCTGCCTTGGCCCCATACAAAAATAAATGGCCAAGCTGCCTGAAATTTTCTCCAGATTGTGTCCTTAGTCATTCATTCTAAGAATAAGTTGGGTGAGGGATTATCTATGGTAACCAGTTTAAATGATTTGGAGACATATGGGGTACACTAGTCATGATCCTATACCAGCTAAGCTGTGACATGCCTAAAATCAGAGCTGCTGTTAGAAACCACAGGGCCCCATACAGCAAACCTGACAGCCCTCCAAAGTAAACATAGTTTACTATGCTTTAGTTGTGAATGAACACAGTGAATGATCAGTACTGATCACTCATTGTGTTCATTCAGAAAAGGAATGGTCTGGTAAATGTGGCATATTTATTGGATCCTTCCCCTACTCTTTATTTTGAAGGATCCTATTGTGCTTGCAGCTGCTGGTTGAAAGGAAAGGAGGGAAGCCAGCAGCACTGTGGAGGGGGGGGGGGGGGTAAAGAGGGGGCCCAGGCAGCATAGGGAAATGTATGGTGCACAGGGAGGGGTGATGGTTGTGTGCAGTTACTGGAACCAATCCCCTGTATGGCCCACTCTGCAGCAGCTGAAAACCAACAGGAAGAAGAGGAGAATAAGCCAGCTTTCAGCTGCTGCAGAGAGAGCCATACAAGAGATCGGTTCCTGTAATTGCCCCCCCCTCGCTGTGTCGATCACCCTCATTGCCCATATCCAATTCACTCAGCTGCCTGGGCCCCCTTGCTGGCCCGGGCCCCATACAGAAGGACTGGTGGTACTCCCTTTTCCATGGCCCTGCCTAAAATAAAAGTGTGATTTTTCTCTAGGCGATATTTGCAATTTGAAATGCACACACGGTGTAGGAATAAAACCATGAGTGCTCACAGCAGTAGTATAGGTGAGCCATACATTAAAGGGTATTGCACTGTGTATGTACATATTTCTGTGTGTATGCAAACACTAGGAAGCATACAAGATTCTATGCACTGGCGCATAAAATAAAGATTGATGAACACTGGTTTATATACTGGTTTATATTCTGCTTTTCCTTGCTGCGCCAGCATAGCAAATAGGGTTTTTTACATGTTGTTTAGCTTGGTGCATATGCTAGTTGCTAAGCAACAAGGTCACTTCCACTTATTTCTAGGTACACATACACCTAACTACATTGCTATAGAAACTATTTTGCTTATAAATCATTCTTCATTCACACAGGTGCTGAGACCCACACGCCATGAGCTGTTTTATTTTTCAGTGCGTCCCTGGCCTCCAGGTAGCCCATTGAAGTCTATGAGGATGCCACGGCTGCACAGACACAGCCACTGGTCCTAACATGCCAGGCAGGCTGGTGGGTGGGCAATCTTGAGCAATGACACCCACACACTCATCACATTAGGATGAGAAACTGTCTGTGCAGCCACTGCAACCTCATAGACTTGAATAGGTTGCCTGCATGCAGCAATAATCCTCTGATACAATGAAGCCAGCTACCCAGTGATATCCATTGGAACAATTCTTTATTGGCTACATAGCAGACGATACAGTAATAACACACTAATGTGTTTTAGCCAAAACCTTACTCACAGCATGGATGTCACTGAGTACCTGGCTTCATTGTTTCAGAAGTAGGGGCGGACTGACCATTTGGAAACTCGGGCACTGTCCGAGGGCCCAGGGTCAGTAGGGTGCCCCATGAGATGCCCCTGGTACCTTTTTTCATAGGCTTTTTTGAGTTTTGGCAAGGACACAGGGGCCCCATGATCCCCTATTGCCCGGGGGCTCCATGAGTTGTCAGTCTGCCCCTGATCAGAAGATTATTGCTACATTTCAAAGGCACTTAGGCCAGAGCACCAGTTTGCAGTCCCCCAGGCAGGGGCGGACTGACCATTTGGAAACGTGGGCACTGCCGAGGGCCTGGGGTCAGTAGGGGGCCCCATGAGATGCCCCTGGTACCTTTTTCAAAGGCCTTTTTGAGTTTGGGCAAGGACACAGGGGCCCCATGAGCCCCTATTGCCCAGGGGCCCTATGAGTTGTCAGTCCGCCCCTGCCCCCAGGTAAACCATGGTATAGCAGGTTTTCTTTGTGGACTATGCTTGCATGCAGCACTCGAAGGCTAGGGTCACATAAATAAATAGCCCATGTGTATGGATATAAGAATCCCTGTGAATGAGATCTAAAAAATACATAACTTCATTTAATCATCCTCAGCAAAGCAAATTTGTTTTCTAAATTCTCATATAACTTACTGCTTCTCCACCACAAAAACACAGTTTTATTGCAGTAGTCCTGAAACAACATGTGCTTAGTGTGCACCATGTTGGCTACATGAATCATTGTTAGTGTCATATTTTTTAGGCAAGCTTAAATCATAATACAGGTAATAGTGTTATTAAGGAACATTGTCCTTTGTTTACAACATGAAAAAAAAAGAACTGAATTTTTGTACTATTAAATTGCGTGATGTGACTTGCAAAATGTCATATCCCCTCAAGACATCTTTTTTAATTTAGCTTTATACATTCATATTTAATATTAATGCACTGTATCTACATATCCCATTTCTCATCTTTAATATCATATAGCACATATCAACCAGCCTACAGCAACTTATTCTGCATTCTGATAATGTTTAAATCCTCCTATGAAGAATATGATTGCACTTTGGGTGCAGTCATTTAACTCCAACCTGGTCAACTGCTATTAAGATAATGTGGTTTATCTGGGGATACTGAACTACTAAAACTGCATTAATTTGTATCAAATGTCTTTTTTACATCTTCCGACTGTTTCAACCTACCTTCAGCCTACAACTTAAGCTGAGTATATATGGTTAGTTTTTTTTCGGTTTTGTTGTTCTAACTGATTCCTCTATCAACACAAGTGAGGTGGATGGAGAAATCCTCCCCATTATGCCATTGTATTCTGATAGTGGGGACTCTGATGCAGCCACCAATAGATGAAAGTTTTCCAATGTAGTCTATTGATCAACTTTTGTCAAACGGGGAGCACCACACACAGATCAAAATTCAGCCAGTCCCAGCATAACTTTACATTTTCTCAATACTGAACCTCAATGGGGCTACCCAACTCCCTATTTAAACATGGTATTGTTGTAATGATGCTACATCTTGTGCCAGAGTTATGTGCAGGGAAAAATTATGTGTCATCAGCAATCACTGAATTCGAGCTCTTGATTCCAACCTCTATATCATGAATTAACAAACGGAACAACATTAGTCCCAAGACAGAACCCTGGCGCACGCCACTCACAAATGTGGAATCAGGGCCGGTGCTTCCACTTCCAGTGAAGTGTCGGCTCCCACTAGGATGGGAAGTGGTGACATTAGACCAGGACCCCGGGTGGTCAGCAGTTTCTGATCAGAGGATTGATCTATACATCTCTGGGAAACACATTGGCACACATGATCCTCCAGCTGTAACAGGGAGCTAGTGACCGAATGGGGTATGTCTAGCCTTGGTTCCACCTTCGTCTATCAGCTGTACACAGCTGGAGCCAATCAATAGGTGGGGGTGTGCTCTGGTTGCAGGGTTAACCCTGTGTGAGTAGGATGATTGGGGCCCAATGTGTATGAGAGGGAAGTGGTGTAGTGCTGAAAGGCCGCCTGTCTGCATTGAGAGCTGCTGCCTGGACTCCACACCCCTGCAGTAGCCATGAGAGGTAAGCCGAGCCTAGGAGGATGGCGGGCCATGGAGGTGACAGAAGGAGGGGGGGTGGATGCTGATTGATTGTGCGGGATGCTGCCACGTCATGAATGATCCTTCAGCTGAGGGGAGGGGTGGCAGAGGGGGAGGAAGAAAGGACAGAGGAAGATGCATGTGTGCTGAGCTGACACTCCTTCCAGTATTCCTCTCAGACTCAGTCTCTTACTGTAAGCCGACTGCTAATCACTGTGGAGCTTTTCAACTCTTTCTCTCTTTTTTTTTGTTTCCCTGCCTGATTGTTTAATACAGTTAATTTATATTTGGTTAATATATATTTTGTCTTTAATTTTGGTGCTGGTGGCATCTTATGGCACTTGCATTTGCAAATTAAAAGACATTTGGCAGTTTTATGTTTTGTTGATATAATATTTTCTACTGGTTTTTTTTTTTTTTTTGGGGGGGGTGCAACTAGATGGTGTTGCCTAGGGTGCAAAATAGTTTAGCACCGGCCCTGTTTGGAATATTCAGAAAACAAGTCATTTATCCCTACACTCTGGGTCCATTCATGTGAATCCCTGTGAGACGTCCGGTATGCAGATATGCACATGGTGTTTCCCACAAAATGGTGACCTGGCACGTTTGCACATGCACAGTCCCCTTTGGCATCAGATGGGCTATTTAAAGGTCGCTCTCATACCCATGTTTTATGCAGACTGGTCTTCAGCTGTCCTGTGGCTGACTTGATGTGCTACTGATCTGATCCTGATTGTCACAGGTCTAGCCGAGTTCAGCAACAGCCAGGTAATGGACTACAGAAGCATGGTCAAATGTAGCTCCAAGGTCAGGAACAGGCAGGCAGGAGAGCAATCAGGATTCTGCCTACCTGCTTCTGTCTCTGATTTGGCTCCATGTTATCTTTGAGTGCCTGCTGTGGCTGTCATCCATATCAGCTTCAATCATCACAGCGTGTTCCTGTATTCAGTCTACTGGAATCTCTGACAAGCCTCATGCCTTGAACCTCCAGTGTATGCAGAGTCCTCATTTAACTTCAGTTGGCTCATCCTGAAGTCCTGCCAGACAGTTCCAACCTCCATCTCCTACTGCAAGTTCTACCAGCAACACCTGCCAGCACTCATGTTTCTCCTGTACCTTGGCACCATCCTTTCCACCTTCAGTGGAGATACAAGAGAGGACAATCTTGTCATCTCAGTTTCCTATCAGGTACATGGCAACCCAGTTTTCTATCCATGTACAGTACATACAATTTCAACAACTCCAACATAGTTTGATTAAACATTTATGAGATACAATATCAAATGCCTTAGCAAATTCTAAATAAATTACGCCCACTGAACTTTCACCATCCAGTTTCACACTTATTTCCTCGTAGGATGATACCAGGTTGGTCTGACAAGAATGGTATTTTTCTCTCAAATAGCAAATAGTTGGTAAGTCTAGAATGCTGGGGGTGTCTCTTCTACTTTCTACTTTTTAGAGGTCTTTTTTTCTATGTATTTGTTTTTCTACACTAGAAGTTGGCCATATATTTTAATTTAGTTTTTATTTATCCTTGTTACCCAATCAAATACAGTGGCTAATTGCATTGCTTAAACTCTAAAGCATGCCCACTTGCCTTGGGTGCTCTTTGGTGCAAATATTTGGGACTTTAATCATTAATACATCCTTAAATGTATTTTTTAATACAAACAGTGTAAGTACCTGAATTTATTCTGTAAAAGGCTCTTCAATCCCTATAATCATATACAGTAGCAAGGGCTGGAGTGTGGGAAGAAGAAACAAGTAAAGGAACCCATCAGTTCAAGTGATGACAAGAGGCATTCTGATAGGTAGAGAAAGCAAAGTTAAAGAGAGATGAGACTCCCTCTTCATCGGCTTACCCCACCGCAGACTCATCAACCTTACTAACCACTCTGTATCCGCCACCCCTCTCTGCCAATCCCTCCACTGGCTTCTGATTGCCCAACGGATAAAATTCAGAATGCTAACATTGACTTATAAAGCTGTTTATAATACTGCCCCAAACTACATCACCGATCTGGTATCCAAATACCACCCAAAACGTACTCTCCGCTCCTTACAAGACCTCCTACTCTCTAGTTCCCTGGTCTCCTCCTCCCATGCCCATCTCCAGGACTTCTCCAGGGCTTCCCGCATTCTCTGGAACTCCCTACCCCAATCCATCAGACTGTCACCTACTCTCCTCACCTTTAGGCGCACTCTGAAAACCCATCTCTTCCGGGAAGCCTACCCCGCCCTCAGCTAATTACTGAACTCCTCCACTCTTCCTACCACTCCATCCCCCACAGCTATTTCCTCCTGTACCACTATCTTCTCCCTCCTAGATTGTAAGCTCCAAGGAGCAGGGCCCTCGAACCCCTTGTGTATTGAATCGTATTGTTACTGTACTGTCTCGTGTACTGTCTCCCTTTATAATGTACAGCGCTGAGCAAACTATTGGCGCTATATAAATCCTGTACAATAATAATAATGAGATTATTAATGTGCTTCTTCTCCTTTCACTGCCCAGGCTCGGGGTGGGTCCAGAACACTAAGTAGAAAGCTATAGATTAAAAAATAAAAAAAATATATTTTTTTAATCTATTTTGACGTGTTCGTTTTTTTTTAAGTAGTTTTACTGTAAATAAAAAGTATGCATTTTATTCTGTATTGTGCCAATTAAAATGACAATAACATGAGGTTTCTGGTAAAAAGCATGGCAATGTTATTTGCAAATGATTAGGGTTAACTGTGGATTAATAAGGGGTTAAATAGGAATACATTTTATTTGATTTTCTTTTTTACTTTTCTTCTTTTTTTTTCTTTTGTAAGGTTTCTTTAATTGATGTAATATGCAGATCAGGGGTCACACCTGTAATTACCATATGAAAGAAAGAGTAAGTGCAATGAAACAATACAGACTATCTGCAAGTGTCATTTTACATAAAGTAGGATCCACTGCATTTTGACAGCCGCTTCTGTTGCATAATATAAAAGCAATTTCTTATTGTAAAAATTGTAATTCTTAGATTGTAAGCTCTAACAAGCAGGGCCCTCTGTTTCCTCTTGTACCAAATTGTATTGTAACTGTAATGTCTGCCTTCATTTTGCAAAGCGCTGCGCAAACTGTTGGTGCTATATAAATCCTGTATAATAATAATAGCTGCAGGGGGACTGGTGGCGGGGAAAGAGAAGCAGATTGTAAGAGGTGCACCCTAAAAACTTTATTGAAGTTTTTTAAAAAGCATCTCTTACTCTCAAAAACCTCAAGTCATTGAAATGAAACATAGAAAGCAATAGCAGAAACAGACCAAATGGCCTTTTTGGTTCTGCTTTGTAGACAATGGCCATTGCAGAAAAAGCTTTATGGACTCATAATTTTTCACTAAAGATTGTCCAAAGCAACAAATGTTCAATAACAAATTTACTTAACATCAAATTTGAAGGGCAATTTCTAAACTGCGACTGTGCCTTCATTTTTAATATTTTAGAGACATACTATGCATCAAAATGTAGGTCTGGGTCTTGTGGTTCTCACAATATAAAGCTCTTCGGTATAATTTTTAACCTCCCTAGCGGTATTCCCGAGTGTAGCTCGGGGTAAAGTTTCAGTACCAAAAGTGGTAACCCCGAGCTACACTCGGGCTTACCATGCAGCGTTGCTCAGGGAGTCCCCGCAGCGCTTACCTTGTCCTTCGCTCCCACGATGCGTCCCCTGCAGCGTCCCTGGCCATCTCCTCCGGCCGATGCAGGCATCCGGCTTCCGTGTTCCGGCCCCTGTGACGTCGGGACATACGGGCGCAGGAACCGGCGGCAAATTTGAAATTTTTTTAAAAATGATTATTACATAGTAAAACATTGCTGTTTCAAAACATTTCACATACATTTTGTCCCTACTGCTTTGTCCGGCGCCCTGCCTGCATTGTGACTGTTCTTTCTGCCTGGAAACTTAGAAATGTCCACGGCGTCCAAAAAGCGACCCTTTAGGTCAAAAGCGGTTTTAGACCGGCTAGAGAACAGCGATAGTAAATCAGAACCACTTGCAGAATTGAGTGATAATGATTCGTGGGGAAATTCCTCATCAGACACTGAAAACGATTCTGCGACTTTGCTCAGCAATGTGCAAACTTGGTGCTATATTTCAAATTTTCAGTGTTTTTGGTTTTTGCGTTTCAAGTTTTTATCATATCCGGAATGTTTACTAGACTCTTGTTCGGACAGATTTCAGTGAGTTATTCCTAAATTACAGGCCTACAATAAAAAAAAAAATACATATTTCCATGCAAAAAAATGGTACCGCTTTCAGCACCAAAAATCTGAAATAATCATACCGCTAGGGAGGTTAAAGTGATACTAAAGGTTCACTTATTTAAAAAAAAAAAGAACAAACGTGGTATACTTGCCTGCATTGTGCAATGGTTTTGCATAGAGCAGCCCCATTCCTCTTCTTCTCAGGTCCTCCTCCAGTGCTCCTGAGCCTCCTCGATGTATCTATATGACACACAGAGCGCAGCTCGCCCCCGTCCCCATCTCTTTGCATAGTCACTTAGAGCATATACAGGGAGCTCACATTGAGGGAAAGACCAGAGCGGGTGAGAAGAGTGATGGAGGACTACTGAATCTGCAGGTGAGGCTCTCTGGGGGTGGAACATTTGTGTGGAGCAGCGCTGTGCAAGACAAAAAGAAATGTCAGGTGGCCACAGCACCCCCACCAAACCTGCACCCAATGTGAATGCCCCCCACTGTTTCTTTAAAGTGGAGTTCCAGCTGAAAAAAAAAAATAGTCAGCAGCTACAGAAACTGTCCCTCGTGTCCTTACTACAACTGGTTTCACGGGCCGTCTCCTCTCCCCGGTATCTTTAGTGTGGGCACCTGGCTGTGACAGCTTGTGGCTTCACAGCCGGGTGCCCACTGACCATGCGTGAGAAGCACTGCGCTTTGTGAATGGCCCCATAATCTTCTGGGACCTGTCACGTGTCCCAGAAGACTATGGGGAGAGAGGGGGGAGGACAACTGCTTCCGATCCCCACTGTAAAACATGGTGGAGGGAGCATCATGGTTTGGGGCTGCTTTGCTGCCTCAGGGTCTGGATGGATTGTTGTCATTGATGGGAAAATTAATTGCAGAGTTTATCAAGACATTTTGCAGGAAAACGTACGACCATCTGTCCGCCAACTGAAGCTCCGCAGAGGATGGGTGATGCAACAGGACAATGACCCAAAGCATACAAGTAATTCAACAAAACAATGGCTGCAACAGCACAGAATATCCCGTCTGGAGTGGCCCTGTCAGAGTCCTGACCTCAACCCGATTGAAATGCTGTGGATTCACACCAGACATCCTAAGAATATTGCTACACTGAAACAGTTTTGTGAAGAGGAGTGGTCCAAAATGACTCCAGATCGTTGTGCAGGTCTGATCTGCAACTACAGGAAACGTTTGGTTGAGGTTATTGCTGCCAAAGGAGGGTCAACCAGTTATTAAGTCCAAAGGTTCACATACTTTTTCCTCCCTGCACTGTGAATGTTTACATGTTATGTGCAATTAAACCATGGCAACATCTAATGTTTGTGTAGTATTATGTTCAGCAGACTGTGTTCTTCTATTGTTGTGACTTAGATGACTTTCAGAGTACATTTTATGCCCAATTCAGGCAAAACTCCACGCAATCCCAAGGGGTTCACATACTTTTTCTTGCAACTGTATATGTAATGGATAAATATGGCTGCTCCATTTACATATATAATTGCAAACTATGTACACAACTAAGGTCTTAAATATTAACACATATTGAAAAAATCAATTAATTTGTAAATATATTTAAAAAGGTTTTTTTAATATATTTAAAAAGGCTTTAAAAAGACTATTTGCTACATTTTTTGTGCATAATTTATTTTGTTTATGTTTGTGTATAAAAAAAAGCAATTATTTTAATTTGTTTCAATTTATTAGCCAGTAGGAATGGATAAAAGTAGGTGTTTTGTGTAGCTGTAAATTCACTGCAAAATGACATTTTTGGAAAATATCACTATTTCAGTAAAATACATTGGAATAAATCGGTCAAAGTTAAGACGGGATTTGGTGGTTTTTAAGGGCGCAGCTTCTGAGTGTTAGAGAAGCTACCCCGGGCCTTTAAAAAAAATAAAAAAGATTCTCCATATGGTCTTTGTGTAGCATCCACACCATTTGCTGAGTCTCTAGAAGTTGTATTGAGAAACTGAGTTGGACCTTTAAAAAGGTGTCTATGCTGAATATTAAGCACTATGTTGTGGGAACACCACTACTTCAGGATCACCAGCAAAAACTAAATAGAAAATTTTTCAGGATCACCAGCAAAAACTAAATAGAAAATTTTTCAGGATCACCAGCAAAAACTTGTATGACAGCTGGCAGCAGCAAGAAACAATGGCAGTCTGCAGCATTTCCTTATTAAGTCCTTAAGGTTTTTTTGTCCACATTATGGCTCTACTGCCTTGCACCCTGGATGCAAGCTTACGTCAGGTACAGGGGCGGACTGACCATTTGGAAATTCGGGCACTGCCCGAGGGCCCATGGTCAGTAGGGGGCCCCATGAGATGCCCCTGGTACCTTTTTCATAGGCTTTTTTGAGTTTGGGCAAGGACACAGGGGCCCCATGATCCCCTATTGCCCGGGGACCTCATGAGTTGTCAGTCCGCCCCTGATCTAAGCCACACAGTTTACAAAACATAGCAAATAGATTGTGCATGAAATGTATCAACCAGGGGCGGACTGACTATTTGGAAACTCGGGCATTGCCCGAGGGCCTGGGGTCAGTAGAGGGCCCCATGAGATGCCCCTGGTACCTTTTTCATAGGCTTTTTTTGAGTTTGGGCAAGGACACAGGGGCCCCATGATCCCCTATTGCCCGGAAGCCCCATGAGTTGTCAGTGCGCCCCTGGTCAAGTACCATGATGAGGTCTATGACCATTGTTACCTCCTCCTGTAAGGGTTTTACACCTCCTATATCTGGCTGATCCCTCTCCACCATATCCTGAAGGAGTAATTCCTAGTCCCAACTGTGCTAGGGTATGGGTCCCTTCCCTGATCTACCTGGTTGGTCTGCTACAGCAAAGGTGAATTTCCAGATTCTGAGTTTATCTGATGAGAATAGTGTGCTTGGTTTGCTCATTCCATCTCTGCCTGATGCTCCTTTGGATTAGCTGGACTGGCACCATGAATCTTGAATATGGACAGATTATTACATATTTAAAAAAGTTAAATCAGCAAAAGAAATACAATGAAATACACTCCCAAAATTCACCCACTAAATAAGTATATAAAAAAGAACACAACAGCAGCACATATGTGTCACATATGCACATGAAAATACTTGTCTGTAAAATACAGACTGTACAATATATAGGTAGTTTAAAATAGCAATACTTACAAACTCAAACAATGACTACAGTAAAATTGTATCTATATTAATTACAGCTTGAATTAAAAAAAGAGTATTATCTTTAGAATTCACTGGTCAAAAGAATGTATTAATAAAAGTCATGGTATGGATAGAAGTAATTGTTATCATTTGCTTAACCTCCCTGGCGGTATGATTATTTCCGATTTTTGGTGCTGAAAGCGGTACCATTATTTTGCATGGAAATATGTATTTTTTTTATTGTAGGCTGTAATTTTTAGGAATAACTCACTGAAATCTGTCCGAGTCTAGTAAACATTCCGGGTAGGCTAAAACTTGAAACATGAAATCATAAATTATAATTTAATAAATAATCATAAAAAATAATAATATAATAATAAATGTAATTCAATAATATAATCAAACCAAAAACACTGAAATTTAAATATAGCGCCAAGTTTGCACATCGCTGAGCAAAGTCGCAAAATCGTTTTCAGTGTCTGATGACGAATTTCCCCCACGAATCAATATCACTCAATTCTGCAATTGGTTCTAATTTACTATCGCTGTTCTCTAGCCGGTCTAAAACCGCTTTGACATAAAGGGACGCTTTTTGGACGCCATGGACTTTTCTAAGTTTCCAGGCAGAAAGAACAGTAAAAATGCAGGCAGGGCACAGGACAAAGCACTCGGGACAAAATGTATGTGAAATGATTTGATACAGTAATGTTTTACTATGTAATAATCATTTTTTAAAAAATTACATTTTTTTAAAATTTTAAATTTGCCGCCGTACGTCCCAACGTCACTGGGACCGGAACACAGAAGCCGGATGCCGGCATCGGCCAGAGGAGATGGCAAGGGATGCTGCAGGGGACACATCGCGGGAGCGAAGGACAAGGTAAGCGCTGCAGGGAATCCCTGAGCAACGCCACATGGTAAGCCCGAGTGTAGCTCGGGGTTACCGCTTTTGGTACTGAAATTTTACCCCGAGCTACACTCGGGAATACCGCCAGGGAGGTTAAAGTGGTTGTAAATCCAAAAATAAAAAAAATACTTTTTGCCGTAAATGAATACATTTTAATGTAACCATACATACAATGTCAGTGCACCTCAGAAAAATGCTCCCTTTAGCTTGTCTCAGCCCTCCAAAAACCGCTGGTCTGTGGGCGTGGCTTAGGACCAGAGAATAGTAGGTGGAGATGTGATGTCACACAATCCCTCAGTTATACACACCCTCCAGCCTCATCTCAAGAATGTGCACAGCTATCTGACATCTCTATGCTTGCGAGCCTGTCTCCTGAGTGCATTCAGGGGAATACACAGGTGCCAGTGACTATGTCAGCTCTGCTTACAGCACAGGATCTGAGCTAATCAGGAGAAATCTGGTTGGAAGGGGTTAATAGTAAAAACATCCTAGGAATCCTGCAGCCTAAAGTGGCAATGTGGTCCAGGAAACATTCTCATGTAAAACTCTGTAAACAGTAATTCTCAAGCTAGGTGCTGTGAATAGAGCAGGAAAATAATCAGCTGTCAGCAGACTTGCCTAGATAACTACAGCATTACTAAAGTGATGCCGATCTATGTCATAAATTACTGGTGCTGAGTTCCCAATCTTGTGAAGGCAGAGACCAGCAGGGAGAGGACACCCGCTCCCCCACCACTTTTGTAGTGTATTACATGGAGGCTCATGCTGGTCTTGTCTTCAGCACAGCCTATCACTCACAGCAGAAGGGGAGTGGCGACACCATTTTTTTGCTTGTGTCAGATTTATTCCATTCAGAAGAGCAGGGGGGATTTCTGGAGAAGGGGATTTCTTCAAGATACCAAACTAAACTCAAATGCTAAGTAAAGGTAAAATCTATTTAACTCTAGGATTAGATTGATTTGTGTTTTTTAGGTTTACAACCACTTTAACCACTAGCCTATCGGGCACTTTTACCCCCTTCGTGCGCAGGCCAATTTTCAGCTTTCAGCGCTGCCGCACTTTGACAATTGTGCGGTCATACAGCACTGTACCCATATGAAATTTTTATCTTTTTTTCACACAAATAAAGCTTTATTTTGGTGTTATTTAATCACCACTGGGTGTTTTACTTTTTGCACTATAAACAAAAAAAGAGCAAAAAATTGGAAAACAAAAAAGTTTTTCTTTGTTTCTATTATAAAAGTTTGCAAACAGGTAATTTTTCTCCTTCACTGATTTGTGTTGATGAGGCCGCACTGATAGGCAGCACTATGGGCACTGATGAGGTGGCATGGATAGGCAGCACTGATGGGCACTGATAGGCTACACTGATGAGGTGGCACTGATGGGTATTGATGAGGAGGCAGTGATGATGCTGCACTGATATGCAGAAATGATGGTAGCACTGATGGGCAACACTGACTGATGACACTGACTGACAGCACTGCTGGGCACTGATGCATGGCACTGCTGGCCACTGTTGGGTGGCACTGCTGGCCAATGGTGGGTGGCACTACTGGGTGGCACTGCAGGGCACTGATCATCAGTGCCAATCTGTTCTGTGACGTGGTAAAAGGCAGCTGTGATTGGCATCACATGATCAGCTGTGTCCGTAAGACACAGCGATCAGAGATCACTGGGTGCATGCCACTGGGGGTACGCTGGAGGGCACGTTCTGGGAGGACATCATATGATGGCTTCCCAGAACTGGATAACCATGCTGTAGCCGTCATTTGGCTATAGCGCTGTTAGGAAGTGGTTAAGTGACCTGTTACTGCAACTTATGTTTGAATTTTTATATTAATGACAACAAACATGTGCTTACTACTCTTTGTGGTTAACAAAAATAACCTCATATTGGTTTGCATACAGTGAAAAAAATCGTAGTATAAAGTATAGACCAGGGGCGGACTGACCATTTGGAAACTCGGGGCACTGCCCGAGGGCCGGGGTCAGTTGGGGGCCCCATGAGATGCCCCTGGTACCTTTTTCATAGGCTTTTTGAGTTTGGGCAAGGACACAGGGGCCCCATGATCCCTTATTGCCCGGGGGCCCCATGAGTTGTCAGTCCGCCCCTGGTATAGACTGTATTTCTCAATGCCAATATGCTTGTGACATTCCTAATTCATAATAATACAGAAAAATCATTTGAATTTGTGCAGCTGACATGTACCACAGCATAAGAACCCTGACGCTCAAACAGATTTGATGGAGACCACTTTAACAGTCAGTTAATTACAGCATTAGAGAAATGATTTGCACAACATAAGGTTGGATTTGCCTTCACACGGTAAGGCACTGGATGTTCTAGAGCTCATATGTAATCTATATGTAAAAGAGAATTATTACCTTCCCAGAGCCAGTATAGCATAATGGTCCCTGTTCTGAATCAGGAGGTACATTTTTAGATAGTGGTGAAATTAGGGGATGTTGTAGTCCAGAAGCATCTCAAATTATTCTAGTAAGAAAAGAAAACAAGAAATCATATTTAGATCTGTAGATTATAAAATTTTAAATTGAAGAACACATCTTGATGTTTATCAGCTTCCTAGAACTGAAGAATCTTTATTGACATTTGGCCAAGCAATGTTTTTTTTTTCATCTGGACAGTGCTGATTGATGCTGTGCTGATCACATGCACTATCCCAAGAAAAAAAAAAACCTCTCTAGCAATACACACCAGACTGAGCATGTGCAGTGTCTTCACATGATATCTCTTAACAGGAGATAAGAGGGGGCACTGGAAGAAGGGGAGGATCAGAGAAGGCAGGATCAAACAGCATTTTAAACAATGTAGAGAATTAACCCCTTAGGCTCCATAGTGAGTATAACAAGCATATATACTGCTCAAAAAAATTAAAGGAACACTTTTCAATCATAGTATAGTATCAAGTCAATTAAACTCCTGGGATATTGATCTGGTCAGTTAAGTAGCAGAGGGGGCTGTTAATCAGTTTCAGCTACTTTGGTGTTAATGAAATTAATAACAGGTGCACTAGATGGGCAATAATGAGACGACCCCCAAAACAAGAATGGTTTTACAGGTGGAGGCCACTGACATTTTTCCCTACTCATCTTTTCTGACCGCATTTGGCTAGGGTCAGTGTCACTACTGGTAGAATGAGGTGATACCTGGACCCTATAGAGGTTGCACAGGCAGTCCAACTCCTCCAGGATGGCACATCAATACGTACCATTGCCAGAAGATTTACTATGTCTCCCAGCACAGTCTCAAGAGCATGGAGAGGATTTGGCAGGTCAGTCACTGGTGCCCTGTGCTTTTCACAGATGAGAGCAGGTTCACCCTCTGAGGGTCTGGAGAAGATGTGGAGATAGTTATGCTGCCTGTAACATCATTCAGCATGACCAGTTTGGTGGTGGGACAGTGATGGTCTGGG